AAAATATAAAAAAATAAATTATGCTTTTAATGTATGTGCAAAGATTTTTTTTTATGTATATAAATAATATATTTTCAAATAAAATAAAATAAACAATGTTCCAAATCTATAAATCTTTTTGTTCTTCTTTTCAAAAATAAGAAGATTTTAATTTGCTATAATAACTCTTTGGTCTATTTGTTGAATAACGGGTGCAGTGTTAGTGGTAGAAGAAAGTGGTGAATGAGTAGATAATGATAAAGGTGTAGATGAGGATGTGGAAGATGTTGATAACGATTTTGTAATGGTGGTAGAATGATTAATTGATATTTGCGATGCTGATGCTTGTGATGTTGGTGACGGAGAAGAAAGTGATGATGATCCATAAGTTGAAGTTATTTGACGAATCATATTATGATCCAAAGAACTACTACGTCTCATTCTTCCACCTCCAATACGACTATTATTATTGCTTATACATTTTTGGTGATGCTGTTGATTATTACCTGGATTATTCTCTAAACATATTTCTAATTCACATTCCTTTTTTTCCTTTACTCTTGTTTCCTCGTCCGACTTTTTTCATCCATTACTATTCCTGTTTTTCCAGACAATGTTAAGTTTTAAAGATAACAAGTTAACTTCGCTGGGAATGCATTTTAATGTATGGGATTGGTCAATACCAGAGTTATATGGAATAGTGTTGGGTATGATGGTGAAGTTGGATTTGAGTGAATGTTTACAAATACGCAATTCAGAAATGTTGGATTTTATTATTGACGTTGAGAAAGGTTATCACGACACTGAATACCACTCGTTCTATCACGCTGTGGACGTTGTAGCTGTGCTATATTACATGCTAACAGACTTGGGTGCTGCAAAATACTTGACACCATTGGATTCAATTTGTTTGATGATAGCTGGTTTGTGTCATGATATTGGTCATCCTGGTTTGAATAATGTTTACCAAGTTAATGCAAAAACACCATTGGCAATCAAATATAATAATCAATCTGTGCTTGAGAATTATTCTTGTGCGTTGACAATGGAACTTTTGACTAAACATAAATTGTTTCGCAATTTGCACAGTTGTAATATCGAGTTTCTGGGTAATGATCAAAAAGAAATCGATTCATTCTTGAGATCGTTAATAGAGAAAATGATTTTGGCTACTGATATGATGCATCATTTTACTTTATTGGAATCTTTGCACAAAATTATTAAATCAACAAAGTCATCATCATCATTGTCATCAAAAAAAACTACCAAAAAATCAACATCCACAAAGCACTCTACAAAAAAAAATTATTGTTTATCACCATCATCTGATTCATTTTCTTCTTCATCGTCATGTTCTTCTGATAATGAGGAAGAAACAGAATTGGAATTGGAAATGGATGATGATAATGATGATGATGACTTTGTTGATTTAATAATTTTGTG